GTGTGTGGCTTCACTCCACAGTCTAATTTACAAGGACCAAAAGCGGGACAACTCCGGCCATTAATCAATTACTTGGTGGACAAGGGGTTACGAGTGCTGTTGTCTCACAAGGAAGGTTCGTTTGTCGTGTTGCCAGAAGGCATATTTTATTAAAGAGCCAAGGCTGCCATTGACAAGAACTTTAAGCGAGTGGACACTGTGTTGAAGAAACCTAAGAATCGGGCATTGGAGTATGTCAGAACCTAGCCTTCACCAAGTTGTGGGAAAGAGTAAAAAAATCCGAGGGTATGCACCTGGAAGTGTTCTTTAGTGCTAAGACGCATAAGGACGCGTGATACTTCAGGGCTATCGTTACCGAGAAGGGTACCTGGAAACGCCAAGTGGCCATTTACTTTCAGAACCAGTTGTCCCCTTTGGAAATCAGGGGTCCCTTCCGGGTCCCTAAATCTGAAGCCGTTGTGAATTTCCTAAAGAGTGACGAACGCCAAAGGTGGTCGGCTTTTAGTGCAGACGTCGAAGACCTGTTCTATTCTCTTCCTTACGACCAGCTGCTCTCCTCGGTGATGTTTCGCATAATATTGAATGGGGAGGTGGCGTTCAGAAATACTAGTGGTGTCACCCTCGAAGGGTTCCTTGAGCTTTTAGGCTTCTATATGAGCCGGATGGTGGTATGCTGGCGCATTGATTTTTTTTTTCTGCAAAAACGGTAGTGTGCGTCGGCTCGTTTGCGGCACCAATTCTCAGTGACATCTTCGTCTGTGTTGTGGCCAGTGCAATTGATGTTGCTCTGAAAGACTCCAATGTAAGAAAAAGGTATTTTGGTATGTGGACGATTTTCTGGTGGCGTTTGACAAAGATTATGGAGAGGCAGAACGGGCCAATGTCTTACGTGCTTTCGGTGAGAGTGGTGGGAAACTTAGGTTTACGTTTGAAGAACCGAAGGATATGGTTCTCCAGTTTCTGGATCTGGCGCCGTGCCTCAAGAACACACAGGTATGCTGGTCCTTCAGTCCGCGGTCAAGGAAGGCGATTTTTGACTAGAGATCATCCCCCTCCAAGCTGGTGAAAAGGAGGATAGCAGTTTCCTGTCTCGCCTCTGCTCTCGTAAAGTCGTGCGCTCACATAATGAACGACAGTTTCTTAGTCCAGGTTAAGAAACTGAGGGCATCGGGGTTCCCGTCAGCGCTTTTAATGGAAGTGGCAAGTGCCCTTATGAAGAAGGCAGAATGGATGAAGAGGGTAAGGACCGACCTAGATAAAAAGCGAAAGGTGCTGCTCCCCTACATCCACCGTGTCTGCCACAACCCTAAACAAGTTGAAACCGATATGCAGTCCTAGTAGTGTTCTCGGACCGCCAAAAAATGAGCCAGATTTGTGCAAGTGGGGGGAGGGGGGGGGGGGCGCAAGAACCGATAGTCGGGTGAAGGCAAAATGTACCAAAAGGCGCGCAAACCTTTTGTGTCATGTGTCTGGAGTGTGGTGCGCAAGATACCCCTGTACTGTGGAAATTCTACATAGGCCAGACAGGGAGGTGCATTAACGATAGACTCCGGGAGCATGCTTATATCCAATTCACCTTAATTACAAAAGCGCAAAGAACAAGGAAAGACTAAAGAATGAACAAAGAAGGAGGCAAAACTATAATAGAAAAAGGAGGCACCTGCATTAGCACACCATCAATTTCACTGTCCGAGAAAGAGATAGGGTACCTGAACGTTTTTCCTTAATCTGGCTGCTTTTCTTTATTTTTCTTTTTTCTTTTTCTATCTGTCTCTTTTTTTCAATTTAATTTTGTTACTTTTTGTTATTACGCCGCCGTGTGAATTGGGTGTTATACCCAATTCACACGGAAGCGTAAAGGTACCTTTAGGTTAGGCCCCTTAGCTGAAGGTACCTGTAGTGAACGGCGTTCTTGATCACACTAAAAATAAAAGGAGCACTTTAGGTTGATGTCGATTGCATTCTTCCTAAACCGCGAGAGGAGCGCGTGATAAACAACTATTTCCCGAAATCGGTTTGACGCATGGTTTTTGAATATTGTGTGTGAAGTATCATTCTTAAATCCTAAATATTATAGTTATGTTCGCTTTTGAGGCACTTTATTTTCTTTTTCACTAAGTCTAAGGACGCACCTAAATGAGTTTTGCTTTGAAACGTCCGACCCGTCTGGCCACACTGGCCCTAAATCATATGCGTTTACGAGTTTCCATTGCGAGGTGGGCGACCTTTTCTTTTAGCAGCTCTATTGTTCCGCAAAGTTCTCACGGAAGTAGCTGAATAGTGCCCGGCAGAAAGGAACCAAGTCGGAGTCTCACGGTTACACCAGTCGCGCCATCGAAAGAGATGGACGACGACGACGATAAAGGGTCCTGGGTGGGAGAGTCGGACGACTCGTCCACAACCTCGAAAAAGAGCTCGCAGGGGTCCATTGTGTTCGTGTTCGTAGCAGACATTGTTTTCCACGAGCCACCGCTGCTGCCTTCTAGCTGTAGTATGCGTTCCTCGATTATGTATTATGTCATCACAGTTCTGCTCACAATCATTTCATAATTTGCTACTTATATATATTCGATTTTTTATAACGTATTAAACGAGATATATTTATATATCTGTGATTTTTATTTTGAGTTCGTGGGTCCGAGGCTACTCCCTCTATCTGTAAAGGGAGCTTGGCGAGCTCCGTTTAACACAGGACCTCCCTTTACGAAAGGGACCTTTATGCGCCATGTGATCACGATCTCCAGCTCTCTTTAATACAGGTACCTGTGCCAAAGGTACCTTAACGCTGCCATGTGATACTCAATTCACACGGCAGAGTAAAGGTACCTTTAGCACAGGTACCTCTAGTAAAGGGAGCTGGGGATCATGATCACACGGCGCACAAAGGTACCTTTTGCTAAGGGAGGTCCTCTGTTAAACGGAGCTCGCCGAGCTCCCTTTACAGCTACAAGGAGTACCCTCGGACTTACGAACTCAAAATAATACCACAGATATATAAGTATATATTGTTTAATGCATTATAACAAATTGAATATATGTAAGTAGCACATTATGAAATGATTGTGAGCACAAATAGGATGGAATAACTCATTACTGAGGAACCCATACCCCAGCTATACTTTGTTTCACCTTGTGTTGTACCGCAGGAAAGGCTACAAGCGCGAGCTCCTTGCTCTATGGCACACCTCGGTGGCACAAGCTCTCGTGCATCAAGGACAGCCGCCAACGCTATGAGCTCGCGCTTCTAGCCTTCGCTGCGGTACAACATAAGGTGAAACGAAGTATAGCACGTAGCAGCGGCGGCACGAGGAAAACAATGTCTACTACGAAACTGAACACGATGGACCACTGCGAGCTCTCGAGGTTGCAGATGAGTCGTCCGACTCTCCCGCCCAGGACCTTTTATCCTCCTCGTCGTCCATCCATTTCAATGGCGTGTCTGGCGTAACCGTGGGACTGACGTGGGTCGTTTCTGCTGGGCGCTGTTTAGCTTCTTCAGTGAGAATATTGAGAAAAAATGGAGCTGCTAAACACAAAAATTCGCCCACCTCGCGATGGAAGCTCGTAAACGCAAATGATTTAGGGCCAGTGCCACGCGGGTCGAACGTTTTAAAGCAAGACTCATTTACCTGCACCCTAAGATGTACATTAAAACAAATTAAGTGCCACCGATAAAAACACAAGTAATATTTAGGTTTTAAAAGTGTTATTTCGCAGACAATAATCAAAAACTGCCGGTCAAACTGATTTTGAGGAACAATTGTTTATCACATGCGCCTCTACGGTTTAGCAGGAAGGCAATCGACATCAACTTAAAGTGCTCCGTTTGTTTCTCGTGTGATAAAAAACGCCGTTTACTACAAGTACCTTCAGCTAAAGCCTTATAGTTCACATGCAGCAGTTGCGATTTCTGCCGTCGCGGCGATCTGGCCAGCACCAGCTGTTCAGCGGCACGAGCGCCGCGACGGCAGAAATCGCGCCGCTCCAGGGCCAAAATCGCTGCATGTGAAACACGCTTAAGGAACGTAAGCGAAAAGTACCTTTACGCTGCCGTGTGAATTGGGTATGAATTGGGTATTACTCGCTGAGGGCCACGGTGAGGGGACTCCTCCCTTTGCATTGCGGAGACTGCACGTGCCAGCCGGCCTTTGACGAGGTGACGGTTGAACGAAGACATAGAGGGACACCCGCGAAATTATCGAGGCTTTTTATATTTCGTGCCTCGGAGAAAGATACGTGAGTGAGAAGTCGGTTGCTATAGGAGGTATTCACTGGACGCCATATTTGAGGGCGATGTTCAGAGCGCATGCTCAGAACGAGCTCACATTAATAGCCTGCTAAGACCGGCAACCTGGATGGTGCTAAATAAACGTTCCAAAAGGACTGCGGAAGCTCGCCGTCAGAACGCGCTCAGCAGCAGCGCACACGGATATGGCCGCCAGTGAGCTGTCCTTTTTGCGCCAGACCATGACTGGCATGGGTTCCGCCTAGTGACCTACTTTCATGATTCGGGCCTCGTGGAGGGCGTATTGTTTGATTACACATTGTGTTATCTGGTACTGACGTTATCTGGTACTGACGTATGTATTCTGTTTTCTTTTCCAAATAAAACCTTTCAGTCGCGAGTACAGCGGTTGTCCTGTCGTGTCTGATCATTTCATCACCCTCGTTTTTTGAAGCGTTTACACTAACCATGTCCTGGTGTCTAAATAACTAACGGATTTTTTTTTTTGTTATCGAGAAATTCCTAAATAAGTAGTTTTTTCGCGGGACTCACCTTTGTGTGGAAACGGCAGCTTACAAAACAATGTGGTCCGCTTTATGGCGCCAGTTTGGAAAAACGCTGAACACAGTGTTCAGCGTTTTTCCAAACTGGCACCATAAAGCGGACCGCAATCCAATATAAAAAGAAAAAAGAAGACGATTGCTGGACTGGCACGAGCCGTAATTCAAGTGCCACTCGAACCCTACTAGATTGCTATAACAGAACGAATAGCGCTATGGTAATGGACCAACAACCTCGCAAGGACTTGAAGCTGGACGACAAGAGTCCTGAGCACGTCGAGGAGCCTGTGGCAGCTGGACAACCTGCGCATCCACCTCCCAAACCCTCTGTGTCAGGACGCGTTGACAATGCTTTGGAGAGGATTCAAGGAGACACAGATGATGCAGATCTACGATGCGGATGGTTCTTCATCACACCGGTATTTCTACAGTCGTACATGACAGCGAGGTGTGTGCTTTTCACATTCTGCGTTGCGGCCTTTGTCCAGGGAATGGTAATCAGCGGCTTCGTCAACGTGGCCTTGCCCTCTCTCGAGCGCCGTTTCAAACTACAGAGTGCAGAGGTGGGTATGATTGTGTCCATGTACAACATTGGATCTCTAGCGCTGCTGTTACCCATCACCTACTTGGGCGGTCAGGGCCACAGACCACAACTGATGGCCATCGGAACTTTGATAATGGGGATCGGTTCTCTGCTCTTCTCACTCCCTCATTTTTTGGCCCCGCAGTACAAATTTAGCGTACTCAAAAAGGAACTGTGTCCTTTCACCGAAGAAGACGCGCCTGCGGAAGCCGACGATCTCCACCTGCGGGACTACAGATGGGTTTTAATGTTCGCCAATATGCTTCATGGCTTGGCAATGGTTCCCTTCTACACCTTGTCGGTGTCCTTCTTAGACGACAACCTGTCCAACCAGAAGTCGGCGAAGTACATCAGCATCTACTACACGGCGGCGATTATGGGACCTGCTTGCGGCTTCATTTTGGGAGGTACCTTTCTCAACATATACACGGACATCACTGTAGATCCTGCAACCCTCGGATTGTCTAGATCGAGTAACGTCTGGGTTGGTGCCTGGTGGCTGGGATTTGTGCTGACCTTTGTCTTAGCCTCCCTGGCAAGCATTCCAATCTTTGCGTTTCCCAGAAAGCTGCCCGGATCAGCGAGGATAATGTCGGAGAAGAGGATTGAAGTGGATGAGAGGATTAAAGGCGACACGATGCCAGCAGGACCGTCCAAAATTGGCAACATGCCGAGAGCCTTGTGGTGCCTCCTTTGCAACAAGACTTTCGTGTTCATCTGCCTCGCTAGTACGTTAGAGACGTCGATAGGATCGGGCTACGCCAACTTCAGCACAAAGCTCTTTGAAAGCCAATTCCGGATGACATCTTCAGGGGCCTCGTTGCTTCTCGGATTGATGGCCATTCCAAGCGCGTCTCTCGGTACATTGCTGGGAGGCTACATCGTCTCCAAGCTGGACATGGCTTGCAGTACCATAATCCGCATGTGCCTCAACATGTGCATACTAAACTGGTTCGTGTTCCTCATGATGTTTTCGTACTGTCCAAACCTACATTACAGAGGAGTCAACAGGACGGCGGGCGTGATTGAACCTCTGCCCTGCAGCGACAACTGCAGCTGCCCTATGGAATTCAATCCCGTCTGTGGCGAAGACCAGATAATGTACCTGTCAGGCTGCCTTGCCGGTTGCCGCGAAGAAGCCATTCTCGAGGGTTCTCGCCTGTACAGTTCTTGCGAATGCGTCAACGCAACGACACCCGCCAGAACAATAATGCTGACCAACGGCTCTCTGTTCACTGTGGCTGCAGAACGCATGAGGTGTAAAAGTGACTGCTTCGCCTATTTCTTGTACATTTTGGCAACTTTCCTCAGTCTCTTCATGACGTTTTTTATTAGTGCTCCCGCAGTTAGCGTCGCTATAAGGTGTGTCATGGTAAAGCAAAAGTCGTTCGCGCTTGGCGTGAAGTGGGCTTGCATCCGTCTTTTGGGATCGATTCCGGCCCCCGTCATTTTTGGCACGGCGATCGACAACGCTTGTAGGCTGTGGTCTTCTGCACTGCACAACACGCCTGAAAATTCGGGAAACTGCCTGCTTTATGAGAACGCAAAGATGAGTCGTTACATGGCAGGGTTGCTCCTTTTTTTGAAAAGTTTATCGATTGTGTTTTTTATCTGCGCATCTTTGAGCTATCATCCACCCGAGGAACATAAGACTCCAGAGGTCGTACCCACGAGTTCATCTCCGAAAAGTGATTAAAATGACGCGCAGACAACCAGTTTCGTGGATTTTGCTTTCTTTTATATTTGTAAGTCATGATGAAAATTTCAGGCGTTCTGCAGTAATTTGTTTGACGTGCACGGACATGCTTTGCATTCAAGTATAGCAATTAAACTTTGACATCATCCGCCGTTATTTTCTCTCCTATTCCTTTAACTGATATTTACTAAAACGTTGAAATTAATTTAGTAATATATTACACGCTAACTGTAGAGTGGAAATTAAATTTAAGGCTTGCCACTGTCATGAGCCGGTGCGGTTCTGTAACACTCCGTATAATTTGTGTTGTAAAACTTGAATATAAACTCATTTTATGGTTCACATAGCTGTTGCATCTAAGCACGTTTCTTTCTTTTATCTTTTTTTCTAGCTGCTGTCAACTACACAACTCACTGTTGTTAGTTTTTATAGAGTGTTCCATCGAACAATTCAAACCTTTATTGTCCCACTGGTTGAGCGGCATCGAAGCCGGCGCTAAAAGAATGCCAAGCGGTCAGTCGTACGTTATGCTGTTAAAAAGAAAAGCTGTAATGGACTGCCAAATTTTCTCTTGTTGCAGTGTGACAGTCGATTTAGCTTAGCATTCCGAAATACCCACATGCAGCACACTGCCATTTCGACAAGCACCAAACTGGACCAGCTCGCATTGCCGCTGAATGTACAACTGCCGCAAAACTACTGGCGCGAGTGAGTGGCTTTCTCTTGAGTGTCACTGAGTGAATGTGTCACTTGACGAAGCTTCGCGCTCGTGGCGGCAGCTTTGGCAGCGTTGTAAACGAAGTATAAAAAAGAATACTAATATTTCGACAGTAGTTGAGCGCAAGCAAAGAACTGAAATAAATAAGAAAAAAAAAAAACTCCCTGTCCTTTCAGCATTAAAATGCAGTGCCATCTCGTGGCTCGAAAAGCTGATCAACTTTTGAGAAACTAATGATGGTCATGAAGCTATTTTATCAGGTATCGTTACTTTCTTACAATGGAAGTTGGGAACTGGCTCTTCGATAAATTCAAAATAAATTCGTGACTTGATCGAGTTTCGATGGTGTGAAGTTAAAACTCACCAGTACAGAGCGGCAACTCATTAACGCCTTGAGTAAATTTCCGCCATCAAATAGCTTTACTAAACACGCTAAACAAGCTAACTTGCTAAACAAGCTAAACTTGTGCTGGGGGGTGGGTTGGACCACAGGAGAAAAAAAGAGTTAAAATTGGTTTGTCCGTCTGGTCACAGGACATAAAAAACAAAATCGACACAAAACTTTCAGGCACAGATCTTCGGGATGAGGAGTCTAGCAGAATGAACAAAAAAGGGCGCACTCACACGGCACGTCTGTTCACAGCACATACAAAGATCGACACAAAATATGAGGGCAGAATGGGCCCGTTTTCTCGAACGCGAACCGTGGTTTAAAGTTAACTATTCTCCCTAGGAGGGGGAATTCCAGGTCACGTGACTGGGAGAGCAGGGGCGCCGAGGGAGGAGCAGTACCTAGAAGCAAAATGGCCGCGGCGTCGCTTAATGAGGGCTAATAGTTCTGCTTGGTTCTGCTGAACATTCATTTCGATCTGGGTGTTATATTAATGACTCACCATCAACCTATTAGCACGTCAAGCAAAGGGATAGTTCAGGGGAACTACTAAACTAACCGACGGCAGCATTCCGCGAACGCATCACTCTTCAGCAGTCCAGGGGGGCTATGTTGCGCTTTTTGCACTCCCAGGAGACTAGGGAGAGGGAAGTGACGTCAACGACACAGCAAACGCAGATTGGGTGTTGATTTCGTTTTCTTCTGTCAACATCCAATCTGCATTTGCTCTAGTCGCTGACGTCACTTCCCTCTTCCAAGTCTCCTGGGAGTGCAAAAAGCGCAACATAGCACCCCTGGGGTGCTATGTTCCGCTTTTTGGACTCCTTTTAGACTTGGAAGAGGGAAGTGACGTCAACGACTAGAGCAAATGCAGATTTAATGTTGACAGAAGAAAACGAAATCAACACCCAATCTGCGTTTGCTGTGTCGTTGACGTCACTTCCCTCTCCCTAGTCTACTGGGAGTCCAAAAAGCGCAACATATAGCACCCCAGGATCCAAGACATATGACGGTACATAAGCCTTGCAAGTGTTTTTATGGTAAGTAAAAAAAATGTTTTGCGAACAAGTGTTGGTACATATTTATACTAAAACGTTTAAATTGTTACACTATGCACGCCAACTCGTGAGCAGCGATTACTTTGCGGAGAAAGGGGGTTATCCTCAATAAAGTCTTCGTTCCGGGTGAACAGCTGAGACATTGTACTGTTTTTTGTTCACAGTGCGCCGACAGTATGCCGACAGCATTGAGGTTTCTACATATCCCCGGTGGCCAGCAATTCAACGGTGACGAGAAGCTTAGCTTCTCGTCACCGGTGAATCGGTTGGGCAAACGGAAGAGGGGGCAAACAGTTGATATCAGCAGGAATCGCAGAAAAGTGCGTCGCAAGGAACGAAAACGAGACTACAGCACCGGCGTTGCCAGGCTGGAAGAAACACGGGAAAGTTATGCGTTGTTTATGGCGAAACATATTAAAGGAAATGTTTCTTACATTTTCGAATATTCGTCGACAAACTCTAGCATAGTAGCTAAAATTTCTTCGTACCATCGGAAGCAAATAGATTGGTCTTCAAGTACAACATTACTACATTTCGACTTAAAATACCATACTAGATCGATGACAATCAGCGGAAAAAGAGGATAAAAAAAAAATGACTGGCTTGTTTCACTGATAGATGGCGCATCTTATTGCCCAATCAAAAATAATTATTGTTGTTCTATATCCAGCCGTTTATTACAGTACCTAGGTACTTTTCCCTTCCTAGGCACCGTGGTTTACCAAAATGGGTTTACCATCGCTTCGAGAAAACCGGCCCAGGTGATAAGTCTCTCGGAGTCACAGAAATATACACCACAGAAATGTGAAAAAAAAAAGACAGTTATCCTTTTTCTTTTAGTATATCCATATGACGGAGGCGCTTTTTTAGTTTTTTCTTTGACGTAAGGTTCCAGAGATCTGATGGTAATTGATTAAAAATGTCTGGAACGCAGAATGAACGCATAGTTTTGCCATACCGTGTGTAGCATTTCGGGACGAGATATTTGGAAACGTTCCGTAGTTGCCGTGAGACGAGACGAGGAGATTTAAAGTCGTCAGACCAGTAGTGATTGATCACAACTGTTTCTAAAAAAAGAGATCTAAAGTTCGGCATTGACAATGCCGCACTTTAATAATAATAATAATAATAATAATAATAATAATAATAATAAATAATAATAACAATAACAATAATAAAAATAATAATAATAATATTTATTTTGGCTCATGAGAACCGCGGCGCCGGCTTTTGATATAATTCGTACGTCGTGTTCTACTGACGTCTCGAACGTACACGTCTCTTTTATCTTCCGCTTGGTAGTACCTTCAACGCCTCCCTTCATCAGCCTAAGGAAACAAGAAAATGTGTTGTGTGTATGTTTAAAAAGCCTGAAGTTAGTCTGCCTCAACAGGCGACTTGTCTCTCCGCTAGGGTGACCACCTACCTGGTAGCGAAATGCGGGACACGCAAGGGGGGGGGGGGGGGGGGGGGGGGAGGAAATTTATTAACACTCGCACCACGAACCCAGGCTCTGTTAACACATTTGATATCATGTGCTGTTCATACACCTGCTAATTGTATTGAGGCAATTAAGCTCAGTTAGTAATTCTCACTCCCAGTAATATATCTTTTATGCCGAAAGTGTTATTAATGTATCAAAGTTGAAGATATAACTCAATGCATCAAATGGAAATAAGAAACAGTAAATCTTTTTCGGGTTATTGTTTCCTGTCAACGCTTACTTTTATCAACATGGACCTACACACATTTTTAACATTATATTCTTTTTCGACCGTTGCGAGTTGTAGGCTTTTTGCCTTGTATGGCTGCCTTCACTAAAACAAAAATCCACAGCAACCCTTTCGCATTGACTTAGTGATTTCAAAATTATTACAATGTTTTATATTGAAACTTTTGGTGAGCAATTCCTCTTAGAATATTTTTGCCAAGGGGAGAGGCACAACGGAACATGCGCGTCGGTTATCCTGCAAGAACGACGATTGCTTCCCACAATGCTGGGATAGAAAATGGTGTACCATTGCGATTCACACGATTACCAGCGAAATCCGCGCTTCCCCGTGCCCCGTTGTTCGGCAGCGACATGAGTTGCAGAGTGAAGTTTACTACACTATGAAATGCGGGACATTTTGAGGATTTGAGAATTTCTTGCGGGACGCGGGACACGAGCCCTCAATGCGGGACAGTTCCGCCAGTCGCGGGACGGGTGGTCACCCTACTCTCCGCTGTAGGAGAGCAATTTAGCAAGTGCAGAAGAACCACAAACCTGTGGCTTTAACGTGCATCACGCAGTAGTGATACACGACCGCACGTCAGTATGATGCTCATTCATTTCGAAACGGGCAAGCCTAAAAAACGTCGCCACTAGTTTGGCACAGATACCATGCACTGAGATGATGATATTGGCCAGAGTTGCAGGCTAAATTTCAAAGAGGGTCTAAACGTCGCACCCCTAGCGGCTAAGTCAACAACTAAACCTATGCACACATAGCCTTCAAATGTTTTGGCGCTTACGTACGGTGGGTTAGTTCTAGGCTCTCCTGAGGCCGTACCATTCGTCAGGAGAAACTGAAGAAATAGGTAATAAAAAACCTGCACTCCTCAAGAAAAAAAAAATCACGTAGAACGTTAATAAATGACGCAGTTACTACTTTTTTTGACCGTTACTACCTTTTCACTAGCTAATTACTACCCCAAACACGCGGACAAGATGGCGGCCGCCTGCTGCATCGCCGTCAGCGACGCACTTACTGTTTCGGAACGCAGGGGGAGGTATCCACACACAACCGTAGCATCAAATATTGTAGAAGGGGGCATGTTTAAGGTTTGCAAC